AGAACGGGAACGCTACTGGAAGAACACGGAATTGATAGTGCCTTGCTCCTAAACCCCAACCCCTAAACCCTAAAACCCTAAACCCTAAACCCTAAACCCAAAGCCCTAAACCCTAAACCCGCTAACCCTACACCCTAAGCCGTCTACCTTCTTTGAATCCCCAAGAAGCAGCCTTGTTGAAGACTACACACACTCCGACAAGCCACAATCGACTCCTAGGGTTCCGAGTCTAGGGTTTACAATAGAAGCCACGGTTTAGGGTTTAGGGTTTGGGGTTTAAGGTTTAGGGTTTACTATAGAAGCCACGGTTTAGGGTTTGGGGTTTAGGGTTTGGGGTTGAGGGTTTACCATAGAAGCCACGAAAAATGCCACTATGATTCTGTCCTCATTATATTTACAGTATAGTATACCCCGAAACCTTATTCTAACTATTAAGGCACTTACATGAGGGATCCGGATCCTCGCAGCCATCTATAAAGTGCCATGCGCCAGGGTTCCCCCCGTTTCCCTTGCGAGGACTCTGTCCGATTCGGCAGTGCGTTCGGCATCGGAGGCTTGCTGCCGTGGAGTTTTTGGGGTTTAGGCTTTAGGGTTCCCTAAACCCTAAACCCTAAACCCTACACCCTACACCCTAAACCCTAAACCCTAAACCCTAAAGGGGCTTTACAGGCCCAAACCTTTAAATCCCATCCCGCAAGCCCCGAAGGCGGAAAGCCTAGGGCTCCATGCCCAAACACCAGAAACGGTTCTAGGAGTTTAGGAGTTTAGGAGTTTAGTGTTTAGGAGTTCAGGGTTTAGGAGGTTAGTGTTTAGGAGTTTAGGGTTTAGGGTGTAGGGTTTAGGAGTTTAGGCGTTTAGGAGTTTAGTGTTTAGGAGTTTAGGGTTTAGGAGTTTAGGAGTTTAGGGTGGTTTAGGGTTTAGGCAGAGCCCTTACGAAGCTCTTGTGAAACCAATATCCAACCCTCATGAACGCCAAGCAGAACCCTCGTTAGTATCATGCCCGATAAGCAGAGCTTCTAAGCTGCGGTCAGACAAAAGCCCCTGCAAGAAAAACCCGAAAGCGATCCTATACCTCAAACCTTAATCAAGCTTGCCCTAAACCCCTTAACCTTAAACTCCTAAACCCTAAACCCGAAACTCCTAAACCCTAAACCCTAAACCTTTAGGCCCAAACTCTGACCTGTTGTCAGGGCTCCTCCGATGGGACCCGGCACCGGAGGTGCTTGAGGACCGTCTTCGGCCGGGTGTTAAGGCATGTGTTATAGGTTTTCTGGATTTTAGGATTTGCGGTTTGGGTTCAGAGTTTAGGGTTGGGGTTTAGGAATTAGGCTTTAGGCTTTAGGCTTTAGGGTTTGGGCTTTGAGTTTAGGGCTTGGGGGCTTGGCGATGTATGAGCGAAGGGATTAAAGGGCTATATACAGGGCTTCATAGGGGCCTTTCAGTGGCTTGACAAGGCTTTACAAGGCTTCATGTTTTTTGTCACAAGCCTAAACTGTCGTGGGATTGTGAGCAGGAGTCGGATATCGAGGTCCCCGAAGAAGTGCCCGGTGGCGGGGACGTGACGCCCTCGACGCAGGCTGAGGCAGTGCTTGGTTTATTACATTAGCTCTCGGGTTTAGGGCTGCGTTAAAGGAGCGATAAGGGTTCCTATATGGCATCTATAAGGGTGCTGTAGGGTTTCGGGTTCAGGGTTTGAGGTAATGGAGCGTCCGAGGCCGAGCGTGTTAGGGTTTAGGCTTCGGGTTTTACATTTTGGGTTTTAGGAGCCGCAACAAGCCCGTTTTCGGGGTTTAGAGTTTTATGGGTTTAGGGGTCCAGAGCTTAGACTATGAATCCTTGTTATATGATACATGTACCTAAACCCTAAACCCTAAGTCCTAGACCGTGACTTTAAGCCTGTTTGAAGTTTAGGTCGTCCTTAAGGGTCTTCGGCTTCCAGGCACCTGCAGGCTGGAGAGGCTCGCTTACGAGGGTTTAGGGCTTTGGGTTTAAGGGTTTGGGGTTTAGGGTTTAGGGCTTAGGGTTTAGGGCTTAGGGTTTAATTTAGGGCTTCGGGTTTAGGGTTTAGGGCTTTGGGCTGAGGGTTTAGGGTTTAGGGCGAAGTCCAACCTAGATTTGAAACAGGGGTTGTTGGGCGCAAAGCGCGCAATTGGATTAAGCATATATGCACGATTTGATAAGTTGTTCGGCGATACCAAAACAACAAGTGACCACAAACCAAACGCAGCCCTGGTGCATCGTGGCTCTTCCATCGAAGGCCTTCGAAACAAGAAGCAGCTTCTAAAACGTCAGGGTCTGCAGCACAGGCTTGGCCGTAGTGGGTCTAGGGTTCATGGATTTAGATGTCAGGGGTTCCGGGTTCAACGGTTTAGAGTCCAAAACCGAAGCCTTTCTCTTCGCACCCTCAGAAGCCCCATCTAGGTTTAGGGTTTAGGGTTTAGGGTTTAGGGTTTAGGGTTTAGGGTCTCATGCTCAACAGAACCCGTTAACGACCGGGAAAGCGCCCTTAGAGAAACTCTGAAAGAATTGCTATGGGGTCCTGAAGAAAGAAAAGAACACAAAAGAGCCCTCAAGGAACACCCTTCAAGAACCCTTGTGGATTCGATAAACATCCCTGACCCCAAACCCCTAAACCCTAAACCCGTAAGCAACTCAAAACCCCCAGACCGACTCGGAAAGCGGCTCTACGGCGCCTCCCGATTCTCGGCATGAATTGTAGTAAACCGTAGGGTTTTAGGGTTTAGGGTGTAGGGTTTAGGGTGTAGGGTTTAGGGTTTAGGGGTTTGGGGATTCTCTCACGTCTAGGTAGAGTTCTTTTGGTGGTTTAGAGTTCGCCTATGTAGGGATTTGGGGGGTTCCCACCAGGGCTCCTTGCTGCAAAAAAACTCATCCTCATACCTTCCAACCCTACCTTAAGAACCCAAAACCCACCTTTTTGTAGCTTCTTATATAAGCCCTAATATGGAATTGATAGGGACCCTACAAAAAGTAGGCTTTGGGTTCTTAAGTTAATTCTTAAGGTACATCCTGAAGCCCAGACACTAATTAGACTAGATTCCTAAACCCTAAACCCTAAACCCTAAACCACCCTAAACCCTAAATACTCGACTCTGTAAAGGTTCTATCAAAGCCTATGGTTTTGGGATCAGCCTTGATGTGTTTGTTTGGGGTTTAGGATTCAGGACTCAGGTTGCAGGATTTTGTGGGTTCAAGGAGTTGGGTTTCAGTTTAAGGGGTTTCGGGATTTAGGATTTTGGCTTTAGGTTTACCATAGACCCTAAACCCGAAACCCTTTTAGGGCTTTGGTCAGGGGGCGATTGAGGATGTAGGGTTTTGGTGCTTTTAGCTTTTGAGCCTTTGGCCTTGTGTTGGAGCCGCTGTTGGTTTGAGGTTTAGGGGGTTTAGGGTTTAGGGTTTAGGGTTTAGGGTTTAGGGTTTAGGGTTTAGGGTTTCGGGTTTAGGGTTTAGGGCTTGGGGCCTGGAGCTTGGCATTGAAGGTTCCAGTTCTTTGAGATAAGGCACAGTCCTTCCTGTGCTTGTGCACCCTCCAGACCCTACTTGCAGGTTCATGAGTAATCTGGGGGCCTCAATAATTAGAGTAGGGGTTCCTTATTATAATTATAGTATAAGGGATCCCCCAAACCCTAGTCTATATGCCGACAGGGCTTTAGGGTTTTGGGCTGTATCTGTATTGGCTGGATACCTATCCCCAACCCTGAAATCTCAAACCCTAAAACGACGAACCCTGATTCCAAAAGCGTTTTTCGAATCCCCAACTGCTATAGATCCTTTTGAGACCAATTATTCCTAGCCTGCCGTAAACCCCAAACCCAAAACCCCCAAACCCAAAACCCTAAACCTTAAATACTAAACTCTAACTAAACCCTAAACCCTAAACCCTAAACCCTAAACCTCTAAACCTCTAAACCTTAAGCCCTAAATCCTAAACCTCCCTGGTGTGCCCAGGAGGTAGCAGAGGCCCTGCAGTGGCTCACGGCGCAGCTCACAAGGCTTCAAGGGGAGGCCGGCGAATTTCAGATCTGCAGGATTTAGGGGGTTTAGGGTTTAGGGTTTAGGGTCTAGGGTTTAGGGTGTGCGGCTTGGGGTTTAATTAGGGTTTAGGGTCTGGGGTTGAGGGTTTAGGGTCTCATGAAGGTTCCCAAAGCCAGAGCCTGAGAGGTTCTACAAGGCTTTTACGAGGGTTTGTAGGTTCAGGGTTTAGGGTTTAGGGTTTTAGGTTTAGGGTTTAGGGTTTAGGGTTTAGGCTTCGGTGAGTTGTAAAGTAGAGGAATTTGGGATTCCGGGCTTCAGGGCTATTTGAGGCAAGGGGGTTTAGGGTGTAGAGGTTTAGGGGTTCACGGGTTTAGGGTTTTGGGGTTTTGGGGTTTTGGGTTTAGGTTTTTGGGGTTTGGGGGTTGCGCTTGAGAGATTTGTGGTTTAGGGGACGTCCGAAAGCCCAAAGCCCCCGAGTATCTCTGCAAATTCGCTTGTCAACATCTACGAAAACGCGAAGTTGGGGGTTCAGATTGAGGCTTGGGTGTCAAGGGTTCAGGATGTAAGGTTTTTAGGGCTTGCAGTTCTGAGTTGAAGGTTGAGGCCATGACGCATCTTGAATTGAGACTTGACTTTCGAATTGGGGGCTTATGTAGGTCCTACACTGTTACACACCTCAAAGCTCATACAGTAAGCCCTAACGCTTCCAAAACCCTGTGAAGCCTGTAAACCCTGGTCAACCCTTACAATGAGACCCCTACAAAATCTACAAGTGCCGAAACGGGTGACTCTAAGTTGATATAGCTACAGTCCCCACCCCAGGGATAGCCTCACTTATGAAGCCCGCTGATCTTTCAAAGTACGTTGACTTGCTCCTCTGCGGAAGCCTACTATATAGGAGCCTTCATAATGACCAATACTATTTTAGGGTTTCCGTAGTATAGTTTGTAGTATAATACACTCCCCTAAACCCTAAACCCTAGACCCTAAACCCTAAACCCTAAACCCAACACTCTAATTAGTCTTCCACTATTGCTCTGAATGCACGCGCATGGCTGAGTTGAAGCCTTTGGGTTTAGGGTTTAGGGTATAGGGTTTAGGGTTTAGGGTTTAGGGTTTAGGGTTTAGGGAGAACCCCGATTGCACCGGAGCCCTCCTTCGACTCAGAGAAAGCCCTTAAACTGGGTTCTTGTTAAGGGATTTAATTTAAGTTACCATAATAGGAATCTATAGTAAATAATATGGTTTCCTTATTATGGTAACTTAAATTAAATCCCTTAACAAGAACCCAGTAAAGGTAGAGAGCCTCCTGACTCTAAACCTTGAACCAACTCCAAACCTCTAAATCCGTAAGCCTTGAAACCCTAAACCCTAAACCCTAAACCCTAAACCCTAAACCCTAAAGCCGAAACTCTAAATCCCAAACTGTAGATCAAAAGCCTAGCTCCTTCAAGGAAGCCCTGAACCCTAAACCTTAAATCCCAAACCCCAAACCCTAAATCCTAAGCCCTAGACCCTAAACCCCAAACCCTAAACCCTAAACCCTAAACCCTAAACCCTAAACCCTAAACCCTAAACCCTAAACCCTACACCGAAGCCCCGAGCAGCCCCCTTTTTCCTTAGGCGGACGCAGAAGCGCTCCGGGAGGTGGCAGCCGTCCTCCTCGGCCACTCCTATGAGGTTTCAAGGATTTTTTAGGGATTAGGGTTTAGGGTTTAGGGTTTAGGGTTGAGGGTTTAGGGTAGGATGATGTACTGGAAGCGACAACCTGCCAGCTCTGAGAAACAGAACAGGGTTAAGCCGCTTTTTTAGGGTCTTTGTAGGATTCCTTAGAGGCTATAAGGGTCATAAGGGTCTCTGAAGGTTCTCTATACGGGTACTATATGGGTAGTTCTCGAAATTAATTGGTCCAGGGTTTCAAGCATTTAAGGTTTTGAGGGTTTCGGGTTTTCAATGTTTTAAAGCATCAGGGCTGTAGGATCTTGGGGTTTGAGGTTTAGGGCTGCCGGGATTTTAAGGTTTGTGGCCTTGGCTTTGGGGCTCGGGGGCTTTGTGATGGCTGTACTGGTATGTGGCTCTTACCGTGTTGCTACGGGTGTCGTGAGCGTTCTATTGTGTGTGTGTGTGTGTCAATCCAAGTGTGTGTGTGTGTGCGTTCGGACAGTCTTGGTATTTTGTTAGGGTTGAGGCTTGCGAGGTATTGGGTGCAGAGGTTCCGGGGGTGGGGTGGTTAAGCATACACAGCAGGGGTTTGCGGGTCAGAAGTGTTGGATTTGTGTTTATGTTCATTGAGGCGCGGTCTTGTTTTCCGACAGATCTTTCATCCGTGGGCCTGGGTTGTGTGAGCCTGTATGGGCATAGTTGCTGTACGCCGGATGTTTAACATTGCCATTTAATTTGGCTGAGTTGGGTGTCCGGGGCCGACGGCAATATTCACGGTGACAACGGCCATGGCCGCGACGACGACGAGGATGATGATGACGATGATGATGACGATGGTGGTGATGATGATGATGATGATGATGATGATTGCACCGCTGATGCTGGTGATGGTGGTGGTGCTGTCGACGATGAAGTTGGTGCTGGCGATGGTGATGATGAGGAGGATTAGGATGAGGATGACGATGATGGTGTGGGAGCCGAAGATGGCCGTGATGAAGAGAGATTCCGACCGGCTTCGGTTTAGGGTTGAGGGTTTAGGGTGTAGGGTTTAGGGTTTAGGATTTTAGGGTCCCGCCTCCAATGCATGCGCACTTCTCAGCTCTCCACGGTGGAAATCGTGGCCCGTCTATGATAATTTGCGACATCCCGCCTTAGATGCATCCTTTGTGCGGGGCACTGCCCACACAAGCCCAAACTTCAAGATTCAAAACCCTAAGCCCTAACCCAAACTTCAAACTTCTAAACCCAAATAAACCTTCAACCCTGAACCCAAACTTCAAGATTCGAAGCCCTAAATCCGGAGCCCGAACTTCATGATTCTAACCCTATATAACCCTAAACCGTACCCCTATTAAAAAAGCCCTATTCCCGAAGCCCAAGTTTCAAGACTCTTCGCCAAGCTCTGAACAGCAAGTAGGTTCCTGAAGTTCCACCTCCCCCAGAATCAAATCCTGCCTTAAGCGCCTTAATATAGGGGCCTTAATAATGAGTCTATTATACTATAATCATAATAAGAAACCCCCAAAAGCCTATTCTAATTATTAAGGCCCCAATATTAAGCCTTGAAGCGATACAACCCCCAAACCCTAAACCCCAAACCCTAGGCCCTAACCCTGATTCCTAGGCCCTAAGCTCTAGAGCCTTAACCCTGAACCCCAAACCCTGAACCCCAAACCCCCCTAAACCCTAAACTCTAGACCCCAGACCCTGAACCCCAAGCCTTTCTAGAGCGCTGGGATAGGGTTTAGGGTTTAGGGTTTAGGCCTAAGCCACAAACCTGGTTTCGGGTTTGGGCTTTTGGATTGCGAAGACCCTTGGAGCCATCTCAGGTGATGGTCTGGAGCCCACACTGGAGGCCTGATAGGGTTGAGGGTTGAGGGTTTAGGGGTTAGGGGTTGGGGTTGAGGATCAAGTTTCTATAGCGATCTATCGAGTTTGTATAGTGGGATTCCGCCTCATTGGTGGTTGCATGCAGGATTACGCTAGGGTTCTGTGTATCATAGCATTCCTATCGGGCTCGAGAGGGTCTGGGAAAATCCATCGCTGGATACTAGCAGGGTTATAAGCATGTTAGTTTGCAGCGACATAGCTATATAGTGTTCCCGACTTTATTCAGTCCCCTCATGGGTAGAGTGGCTTAGGATGTAGGGTTGGGTTGGGTTCATTAGAATCTAGGGGAATTTGAAGGGTCTAAACCCAACCCCGGCGAAGCCTGTCAAGAGGTGCTCCGCGCGGAGGGAGTGCCGGAAGAAGTGCTGCAGGGGTTCGAGCCACTCTGCCTTTGACAACGAAGGTTTACGGGCTTGCTTCTTGGATCCAGGTTTGGGGCCTAAACTCCACAAAGAACAACTCCAGGTGTACATTCAGGACCTGGGTACCCATGTTGGAGGCTGTCCTAAACCTCGGTTTGCCAACTCTGTCTTGTCTGGTTCCTTATGCCTCATGTGAGGACCTAAACCGTGAAGCCTAAACCCTAAACCCTAAAACCCGAAACCGTAAGGAACCTGTCCCGAATATGGCTCGGCTTTCTGGTTCCGTTTAGGGTTTAGGGTTTAGGGTCGTGATATTGGATATTTGTCTATTGACTTCCAGATTTCCGAAAATAATGGGCCTGGAATGGGGTAGGAACTAGAAGGGTCCCTATAATGGATCCATAAGAGTATGACAGGGTTTAGGGTTCAGGGGTATGGGCTATAGGGATTAGTTGAGGCTTTGGAGTTTACGGCTCTGCTTCTGGCAAGGGTAGGTTTAGCTATAAGGTTCCCGTGGTGGTGGGCTAACATCCAGGAGGTGCGCAATATGGGTGTCTAGCTTTTGGTTTGTCTCTGAGGGGTCGTCTACTTCGAAATCGCTCCACATCCGAATTGCATCGGCCTCTGACTCTGACATGGACGAAACACTCTGGATGTTCCCCTAAGGGTCCATGTGCCCAAATAGTATATACATTGGCCCCAAAGTACTTCTATAGGGACTACTTTAAGGCCAATGTTTATCTTTTTGGGCAAATGAACCCTTAGGGTTCTGGAAGCCTCAATGGTTTTTTAGCATGGCTTCGGTGCAGCTGCTGTAGAATCACAGTAGAACAAAGCAACGAAATAGCGTTGTACAGTTCTCGAGGCTCGTATAAACATCTATGTATCTGCATACGCATAATGCGTATGTGTGTGTGTGTGTGCACGTATAATAGACATGCAAATGCCTATACTGCGCATGCGGTTTGCACACGTACATAATCGTACGTGCATACATACATGCATGCATGCAAACATACATACAGAATACACGCGGGATACATACACAATAAATACAGAATGCATACAGAATACATACATATTACCAATACCTATACCTGTATTACCGGTATTACCCATGCGTATACCTATACCTTTGCCTATACCTATACCTGTACCAAACCTGTACCATATGACCTATAGCTCTACCTGCCTATGCCTATGCCTATACCTATACCTATACCTATCCCATACCCATACCCGTACCTAAACCCTAGCCCTATACCTATACCTTTACCTATACATACATGTCAGCGTATGCCATACATGTATATATATATATAACATGTATATATATATATATGTAGTACA